AAATTTAATTGGCTAATTTTATATGTAGTACAAAAATTTTTATTATAAAAAGTTTTAAAATTTTGGCCACACTTGGTTACGTGATGTTGGTTCTAGGCTACAATGCACTATACTAGTTTTAAGATGCTTCTAAAGAAAGAATTGGATAGTAAAAAGAAAGAGAATAAGAATTAAGTATAAGCATTGCAATATCACTCTTTTTCACTATCTTTACTATTTGCATATATTGTAACATGTTTTCTAAGTTTATTTATTACAACTATAGAAGCTAAAATAGTGAATAAGCAATATTCAATAATTAATGCTGCAATATGTATTATCTATAAATATATAATGTAAATCATCAAAGTTATACTTCATAATTAGGAAAAAAGCTATTAAATGTTAGATTAACTAATAATTCAAATTTCTGGTCAGGTTTGTAGTTAATGTATCTAACATGGGAGTAACTATATTCTAAGTTGAATATTTTTAACATAACTATAAACATTCATATTTAATAAATATAAGATAATCAGTTTATTAAACCAAAGTCCGTAAATGGAATTGGCTATAAAGAACTAAGAATCCTTTATCAATATGGCCAAAAAATTTTGCTTATTTTTATATAAAACTCTTATATTTACTTAGCATAAATTTTATTATCTTAAAAGAGTAAATCTATATATTAATCAGTTACTAAATAAATTAAATTAGATTCATCATATTTAATACAAATGGAAAATTTTTTCCAAGATATAATCATAATTATATAATGATTATCAAGAATATTTCTTGTATTTGCAGGTCACAAATTAACTATTACCTCATTAGTAAAGTAAATCTATGCAATTGATTGACATATAAATAAATAAAATAATTAATGATTCACTCTTTGTACAAGTAACTACAATAAAATTTATATTTTAAAGTTCAATTATTTGAATATTAAGAATATTACTTAACTAGTTGTAGTTTTGAGATAATTCATCCAGGCAGAGTGAGACATCCTCACCTAAATACTCACAAACAAGCTAAGCTTGCAAATAATCTTCTAGTTAACAATAATAATAATAATGACAACTTTAAAGATTTGCCAATTAATAATAATAGTCTTGAAGATGATAACATAAATAGCAATTTTGAAAACATTTCTAATAACAATAGTAGTAATGATCTTGAAGATATATTAATTAACAATGCTAAGCTTGAGGAAAGCCTCAAAGATAATAACATAGATGGCAATCTTGAAGACATTTCTAGCAACAATAGTAGCGATAACCTTGAAGATATATTAATTAACAATGTTGAGCTTAAGGAAAGCAATGACGACTTTGAAGATAGTAATGATAATCTTCAATTAATAATGACAGTCTATTTACTCAAAAAATAGCAGATGAACCTGCATCCTTTGAATCATTTTATAGCAAATATGGTTCATACTTTTCTAATTTTACTGAACAAATGCTTTTCCTGTGGGTTATTAAACATATGATATATAAGTAGTTTGTTATAAGGTGTTTTGATTTCATATAATATATATTAATTTGAAATATTTTTTACCTTTTTTTTCAATTTCTTGATTTTATTTCTATATCTTTAGATTTGATTATGATTATAAAACGTCTTAGATCTCAGTGAATAAGAATGCCTCTATTAAATATAAAGCTACCTTATCCCTATTGATGATCGAAAAACACCTTCCATATTAAAACAAGTCAAAGCTGCCTATACAATTTCGATAAATGAACATCTTAAACACATGCTGAATAACCCACAATTAATAGCAAAGATGTATTTTGGCCACGGTATTGAAAGCCAAGAAAAATCCAAATTATGGCATAGTAATATTTGGCAATGATCTCCTTTATATAGAGATACAACTGTCATTATAAATAATAGTAAGTTAATCTTGATATATCTATTATGATAATTTAAAATTCTTAAACCATGTTTTTTTTTTTACAGTTAGGCTAGTATTTAGAGATAGGGTTATAAAAAAATATAAATAGGTTTTATAAACTTAAACGTAAATCCCAATTTTTAATAACAGTAACTTTTTTTTTTGATTTCTAACTTTTTTAGTTGAATATGCCATTGGACAGTTTGTAGATTTTATCTATACAAATAGCAAGAATCAACATGAAAGGTGATTCGGAAGGATTGAAGCTATTATTTTATTTTTACCACTATCTATATCGGGAGAATTAAATAAGTGCAAATCTGCAAAAACCTGCAAAAATACAGATTTTTGCAGAATTTTTTGCAAAAAACTGC